TCTGTTTTCTGCTGAAAACTTTGGCAGTGGCACAACACATTTGAAGTCGAATGAAACAAACTGTGTAAAGAAAAGTTGAGTATCGAGAACTGCTGATTTTAGCTATTTAGTGCTAGACAAACAAGTCTCTACTGATTATTGATCTAGAAAAGGAGCAAACGATTAAAAGATACCACACAACACAATGCTTCGTTTAAAACTCTGATAGAGTACTCTTTCTGTTTTCTGCTGAAAACTTTAGCAGTGATAAAACACATTTGAAGTCGAATGTAACAAACTTTTTCAAAGAAAAGTTGAGTTTTGTTCTCCTTATTACCCAAGCTGGAACCTTAATAAAATGGTATGGGAAAGCGTGAAACATTATGAAACAAATACTTTAGTTTGAAAACTGCTGATTTTAGCTGTTTAGTACTAGAGAAACTAGGTTGTACAGATTATTGATTTAGAAAAGGAACAAACGATTAAAAGATACCACACAAGACAATGCTTCGTTTAAAGCACTAACATAGTACATTCTTTTTGTTTTCTGCTGAAAACTTTGGCAATGACGCAACACATTTGAAGTCGAATATAACAAACTTTGCAAACAAAAGTAGAGTATAGAGACTGTCTCCTTATTAGTCAAGTTTGAACCTATTTGAAATACAAAATTTTTAATCGGTACAATTGTACTGAAATCAGTTCTAATCTTACCGCAATTTATTCAATCGCCATTTTCAGTACTTCTTGTATGTTTTGTTTTACCTTATTACTAAGAAAAAAGTTTCAGTTTTCTCTCTCAAATTCAGTACATTTTTGTCATTTTCAGTAGGAATTTTGGTACATTTATTTTCTGACGTGCGGCAACACTGATAGAGACTGTCTCCTTCTAAGTCAAGCTTGAACCTTATTGAAATGGTATGGAAAAGCGTGAAACATTATGAAACAACGATTTTAGTTTGAAAACTGCTGATTTTAGCTGATTATTGATCTAGAAAAGGAATAAACGATTAAAAAATACCCCACAACACAATGCTTCGGTTAAAACTCTGATAGAGTACTCTTTTTGTTTTCTGCTGAAAACTTGGGTAGTGGCAAAACGCATTTGAAGTGGAATGTAACAAATTTTGCAAAGAAAAGTTGAGTATCGACTGTCTCCTTATTACCCAAGCTTGAACCTTATTGGCACAGGAAAGCGTGAAACATTATGAAACAAGGATTTTAGTTTGAAAAGTGCTGATTTTAACTGTTTAGTGCTAGACAAACTAGACACTACTGATTATTAATCTAGAAAAGGAATAAACGATTAAAAGATACCACACAAAACAATGCTTCGTTTAAAGCACTGATAGAGTACATTCTTTTTGTTTTCTGCCGAAAACTTTGGCAATGACGCAACACATTTGAAGTCGAATATAACAAACTTTGCAAACAAAAGTTGAGTATAGAGACTGTCTGCTTATTAGTCAAGCTTGAACCTTATTGAAATGGTATGGAAAAGCGTGAAACATTATGCAACAACGATTTTAGTTTGAAAACTGCTGATTTCAGCTGATTATTGATCTAGAAAAAGCATAAACGATTAAAAGATACCGCACAACACAATGCTTCATTTAAAACTCTGATAGAGTACACTATTTTTGTTTTCTACTGAAAACTTTGCCAGTGGCACAACATATTTGAAGTCGAATGTAACAAATTTTGAAAAGAAAAGTTGAGTATTTAGATTATCTCCTTATTACTCAAGCTTAAACATTAATGAAATGGTATGGGAAAGAGTGAAACATTATGAAACAAAGATTTTAGTTTGAAAACTGCTTATTCTAGCTGTTTAGTACTAGAAAAACTAGGCTCTACTGATTATTGATCTAGAAAAGAAATAAATGATTAAAAGATACCAGACAACACAATGCTTCGTTTAAAACTCTGATAGAGTACACTCTGTTTTCTGCTGAAAACTTTGGCAGTGGCAAAACACATTTGCAGTCGAATGTAACAAACTTTCGAAACAAAAGTTGAGTATTGAAACTGTCTCCTTATTACTCAAGCTTGAATCTTAATGAAATGGTATGGGAAAGCGTGAAACATTATGAAACAAGGATTTTAGTTTGAAAAGTGCTCATTTTAGCTGATTAGTGTTAGAAAAATTAGGATCTACTGATTATTGATCTAGAAAAGGAGAAAACGATTAAAAGATACCACACAACACAATGCCTCGTTTAAAACTTTGATAGAGCACTTTCTCTGTTTTCTGCTGAAAACTTTAGCAGTGACAAAACTCATTTGAAGTCGAATTAAGACTATCTCCTTATTACTCAAGCTGGAACGTTAATGAAATGGTATGGAAAACCGTGAAACATTATGAAACAAAGATTTTGGTTTGAAAACTGCTTATTTTAGCTGTTTAGTGCTAAACAAACTAGGCTCTACTGATTATTGATCTAGAAAAGGAACAAACGATTAAAAGATACCACACAACACAACGCTTCGTTTAAAACTCTGATAGAGTACACTCTTTCTGTTTTCTGCTAAAAACTTTGGCAGTGGCAAAACACATTTGAAGTTGAATGTAACAAACTTTGCAAACAAAAGTTGAGTATCGAGACTATCTCCTTACTACCCAAGCTTGAACTTAATTGAAATGGTATGGGAAACCGTGAAACATTATGAAACAAGGATTTTAGTTTAAAAACTGCTGATAAAGTACACTCTTTCTGCTGAAAACTTTGACAGTGGCAAAACACATTTGAAGTTGAAAGTAACAAATTTTGCAAAGAAAAGTTAAGTATCGAGACTATCTTCTTATTACCCACGCTTAAACCTTAATGAAATGGTTTGAAAAAGCGTGAATTATTATGAAACAACGATTTTAGTTTGAAAACTGCTGATTTTAGCTGATTATTGATCTAGAAAAGGAATAAACGATTAAAAGATACCACACAACACAATGCCTCGTTTAAAACTTTGATAGAGCACTTTCTCTGTTTTCTGCTGAAAACTTTAGCAGTGACAAAACTCATTTGAAGTCGAATTAAGACTATCTCCTTATTACTCAAGCTGGAACGTTAATGAAATGGTATGGAAAACCGTGAAACATTATGAAACAAAGATTTTGGTTTGAAAACTGCTTATTTTAGCTGTTTAGTGCTAAACAAACTAGGCTCTACTGATTATTGATCTAGAAAAGGAATAAATGATTAAAAGATACCACACAACACAATGCCTTGTTTAAAGCACTGATAGAGTACATTCTTTTTGTTTCCTGCTGAAAACTTTGGCAATGACGCAACACATTTGAAGTCGAATATAACAAACTTTGCAAACAAAAGTTGAGTATAGAGACTATCTCCTTATTAGTCAAGCTTGAACCTTATTGAAATGGTATTGAAAAGCGTGAAACATTATGAAGCAACGATTTTAGTTTAAAAACTGCTGATTTTAGCTGTTTAGTGCTAGACAAACTAGGCTCTACAGATTATTGATCAAGAAAAGGAACAAACGATTAAAAGATACCACACACACAATGCTTCGTTTNTTGAAAAGCGTGAAACATTATGAAGCAACGATTTTAGTTTAAAAACTGCTGATTTTAGCTGTTTAGTGCTAGACAAACTAGGCTCTACAGATTATTGATCAAGAAAAGGAACAAACGATTAAAAGATACCACACACACAATGCTTCGTTTAAAACTGATAGAGTACACTCTTTCTGTTTTCTGCTGAAAACTTTGGCATTGGCAAAACACATTTGAAGTCGAATGTAACAAACTTTGCAAAAGTTGAGTATCGAGACTGTCTCCTTATTACCCAAGCTTGAACCTTATTGAAATGGTACACGAAGGCGTGAAAACATTATGAAACAAGGATTTTAGTTTGAAAACTGGTTATTTTTATTGATCTAGAAAAGGAATAAACGATTAATAGATACCACACAACACAATGCTTCATTTAAAACTCTTATAATTTTTGGTCAACGTTTCAAAAGATGAAAAAATCGTTTCAATATCTTATTTATCTACTACAAGAGAGTTGTAGAGATACTGGTTTCAGAACGATTTCTTGGAGTTCCAGGAATCAACGTTTGAATTATTATTATGTCATTGATATATGTATTATTTAGCCAAATGTGTAATATAACAATCGATTCCATATCTCCACTAACTTTAATTTTGTAATTTGATTAGTTATTATATGTTGTATTAAAATTCACTTTCCATAATATAATCTAATGATTTTTTCTAGAAAGAGAATAAATTTTTATTTAAATTCGAATCAAAATCCTGCTTTAAATTGTTTTAAACATTTTCTAAAAAAGACTAATAATATATTTATAAAAATACCATAAAAACCTTAAAATTATAAGATGTGTAATATAGAAATATATATAATATATACAAAGGAAAAATGAACACTCATTTTTGATATAAATTTGAAAAAAATAAATAAATAAAGCCGAAGAAAAAAATGGAAAAAGATTCGATATCAACTATAATTTTTATAAAACAGATTTTGTGATATATGATGTGTAATAATAATTATAATATGCATTAGGTTAATATAGTGACAATAGAATAGTACAGTGCACAACCCCAGAGCAAGCTTAAGTATCCTATTACCAACACAATAAAAATTAAATAAATAAAATAAAAAAAAATAAACGTATAAATATAAAATCGGAAAGTTGGTAAGTCTTAAAAAATAGATCAAGAGAAATAGATTAGTAATAAAAAAGGGTTAAAATTTTTTTAATAACCTTCTTTGCAAATTAAGTCTTAAAATATTTACAATGGAAATTATAAAAAAAAACTTTAAATATTTTAACACAACTCATTTATTATTATTTTTTTTGAATAACATTTAATACAAGTTTAACCTAATGTTACCATAAAAATAATAACTTTATAACCTAAAATATATCATGTAATATAAAAATAAACCTAAAATAATTTGTTTATTATTAATACAAAAAAAAACCGATTCATTTTAGGAACATTAGGAAACAATGTAAAAAAGTCATTAAAATCAACAATCCAAATTAACCCCACCGTGTTTAATACGTACATGCGACTTTAAATTGTCCTTTCTACTAAAAACTTGAGAACACCAAGGGCAACGATTATTTTGAGGTTTGTGAATTGCCGAATGATGCCATCGATTCGTTATTAATTTACCACAAAAATTACAACTATAAGTAGTCGGTGATTCACCAACTTTCACAAACATATTCCCGTAATTCGACCCCGAAGAAGAACTACGCTGAATATGTTGTTGATACGGTTGTTGTTCCCGCTGAGGATTCATAGTTGTTTGTACCCGATAATTTAACATTTTGGTATCTTCAATATGAAGCGCTACAAAAAAATTTGATGTCAACAAAACCTAATACTTATTTATTTATTTATCTTTTTTCTTAATTAAAAAATAATAATGAAAATTATTCACTTCCATTATTGATATCTTATTTTATCTTTATTTTTGAGATAATAACTTTTATGTTGTTCTTGAAGATGTTTTTTAAGATTTGTAGTCCAAATTGTGCAAATTCGACAAATTTTGTATTGAGGTTCTTTTATTTTCTTTTTTAATTCGGTGTCGGATCTTTCAGAAGCGTTGCATTTTACGCGTTTATTATTTTCGTTTATTGTTTCATTATCAACTTGATTTGTATCGTTTAATATATCAACTAAAGTGTGATTATCATACTGAGTTTCTTCACTACTATTCAAAACATCAATTAATTCAGAAGATGTTTCTGTGATTTTACCTTTTACATCAATTTTAGGGGAACATTCTTGATAATCCTCTAAATCACATATTGTTTCGTCGTTTGAGTCAATTTCGTTTATTTTAGATTTGTATTTTTCAATTTCTTCAGGATCGCATGTTGTTTCATCACTTGAACTACAAATAGTTTTATCTTGTTTTAATTTTTCTTCATCTTGAGATTTGTCACACAAACCTAAAACAATTTTCCAATATTCTTGAGTTTTAACTTCGTCATTAAAATTGTTAATTTCTGCTTCTGATATTGAATTTTGTTTTGTACTGTTTCGTCTTCGTTGATTTTTATGAAACTTATCGTCAGAACTGGCTAAAATTTTGGAAGGGTGTTGAGTACTTGTTGCGAGAATTTCCTCATCATCTAAAGTGTCGTCGTCATCCGAGTCAAGAATTTGAATAACTCCTACATCATTTCCATCATTTTTTATTTTCTCATCAATATCAGTTTTTGTCTCTTCAACAACAGTTTCGCCGATTTCTATTTTATTAATATCAATTACACTGTTGAAATAATTCGCTGAATAAAATTCATCAGCGGAAGAATTTAGAGTTTCATCTTTTAGTGTTTTACACCGATTTGATTGTGTTTTCATTTTTCTTTGATTTTTATGAAAATCCGCGTCTAAACTAGCTAAAATTAGGGAAGATTGTTGACTACTTTCTTCTGGAAGTTGAGTCCCTTGCAATTTTTCTACAACATCAAGTTTTTTGGGTTCTCCTCCTACTTTTCTTCCTCCTAGAAGAAATAAATTCTCACCAGTGTATATCGTCTGCGATAAGCCCTAGTCTTTTAAACATTGTGTTTTTTACTTTAAAAATTATACTCACTTGAAAATGGGTTTACCAGTTTATTTAGTCGCCACATAAAAACCACCCCGCACCTTTAATAACCTTTTTTATACTATAAACAATAGCATAAAAGACTATGCTTATAACTAACAAGAAAAGTAACTAATTCTTACTTAAATAACCAGAACAGGATCTTTGATCTCTTAAAATAACAATCACAACACATCATAGGTTATTAAATGTGGTATACACAAACATATGTACAAAACGTTTTTTTTTTAACTGTAGAAACACTAATTATTAAACAAAAATATTGAGGAGATATAAAGGTAAAATTGAGAAAGAATTGGGAGCACCGAAATTAAAGAAGAAGAGAGTATAGAGAAAAGGAGTGCGATTTTTTATATCGGAGCAAAGAAAAAAATAGAATAGCAGTGTAGTACGAGCACTTACCGTCTATAGCGTCGTTAATTTCCTGTGGTGGTAGTACTGGGGCCGTGCTCTCTGATTCTGATGTTTCCGACAGCGCTTGATTCGACAGGACGTCATCTGGATGAACACTTATGCTTCCACCCTAATAATAAAACAATAGGAGTATAAATAAATATTCAAATTAAGTTAAATTATAAACAAAATAAAACATGTCATTTATATGGTGATTCTATCAAGTGTGTTTATAGCTTTATTATAATACAGAGTGCAGCAAAACAGATTAAGCGTTTTGAGGGATTATGAAAAAGTAGTTGCAACACACTGTTGGAGACTCATTTTACTAGGTGTTGTTCATTCCTTTAATAATCTGCTCTCTTAGTTGTGGTAGAGTTTAAAGGCGACGTTTAAATATGCCCAAAACATAATGGAAGGGAATGTTGAACGAACATTTTCTGCTCCCTAGACCTTTGTTTCCCAAGAAACAAAGGTCGTGGAAGAAAATGTTTGTGATTGAAGAATATAAGAGACCGGACAGGCATGGACACCCATTTATTATTAAAAACAGCACAAAACAGAGAGCACTTTGCTGAAATTCACCAACGTTAGTAATGGAGAAGGCACCATAAGAAAAAAACATAAAACGTTGCCCCAAAAGAATCAGGATTATTTAAAATTGCTAAACCAGATACCTTGACAATTCATCATCTATCACTTCATTAGTTTATGTAGTTTTTGGCTATTTTGACCACTACTGAAAAGCCATTTTCAAGATTTTCTTTCATTACTTCTTGCATGCTCGATGGAGTCAAAAAAAATTTTGTTGATCATCAAATAATGGTCAATTAATCGTTTTTAACAAGATCAATTTACGCATAAATAAAATTTCTTGGCATTCCCCGGTGTATACAGAAAGGGGAAGTCCCTTTATCATGCGGATTAATGCTTGCCGAATCCGTGTAGTGTTACTTTGTTACTGTAAATAAGACAAAATTTATATTTTGTTCAGTTGGAATACTTATTTGCGAAATGCGTATGTACCAAATTGGTGTATGACGGTTGATAAACAGCTGGTCACTTTTAAGCGGCCCATACACGATGACTCCTGCGGCGGTGCCGCCAGAGCCGCCGCAAGAGTCGTCGCATGCGACGGATTTTAACGGCCTACACACGTAGACTCTTGTGGCGTCGTGCCGCACTTCTTTAACCGCTATCGACGGACCTATACCAATGCATATCTGGCCAGACAATAGCCAAGAAATTGGCTGCAGAATACCAATACTACTTGCAGAAGACTAAATACTTCCTATAGAGGATAATTACTACCTATACAATACTAGAAACTGCTTAAAAAGATAGATATCGTCTATAGAAACATAAGTACTGCTACCAATAGACTACAAATTGGTTGCAGAATACCAATACTACTTGTAGAAGACTAAATACTGCCAGCAAAACGCTAAAAACTCCTTGCGGAAGACAAATACTACCTATAGAATACTAGAAACTGTTTGCAGAAAATAGATATTGTTTATGGAAGGCTAGGTACTACTACCAATAGCCAAGGAATTGGTTCCAGAATACTAATACTGCTTGCAGAAGACTAAATACTTTCTATAGACGATCAAAAATTCCTTGTGGAAGACAAATACTACCTATGCAATACTAGAAACTGCTTCAAAAGATAGATATTGTTTATACAAGGTACTGCTATCAATAGACTATAAATTGGTTCCAGAATACTAATACTGCTAATAGAAAATTAAATATTGCTGGCAGAAAGCTAAATACTGCCAGACAATTTTACAAGCTCATTTATGGCGGTAGTTTTTCAGTTTCTGTTGATGTAATTTTTTGATTTTGAGTCCCATAAACATGGGTACATTCTATATAGGTTTATAAATTTTTTCCAAAAATCTTTTTCGGCGAACGATGCCATTTCGATGGACGTTGGAAATCAACTAAAGCGATACTTTCGGTGTCGTATGCACGTCGCAATCCCATACACGTTGACTCTTGCAAGGCGCCGGAGCCTGCCACGGTCTTGAATCCGTCGCCGCCGCCGCTGCCGTCGTATGAGTCCTGGAGCTTCCCTACACACGATGCTTCATGCGGCTCGACTCTTGGCGTCTCTGCATGCGACGCTGCAAGAGTCGTCATGTATGGGCCGCTTTAGAGCAGATGTCTTTTTACGCAATATATTCCATCAAAACCTGGACGACATGGAATAAAATTTTGGGGCATTTGTAATAGTGTAACAACCTATGCATGGAAACTTAAAATTTATCCTGGAAAGCAGAGTAAGGAAAGAGTCAAGAATCAAGGCGAAAGGGTTGTGGAACATTTAGTAGAAGAAATTGAACACTCTAGAAGGAATATGACCTGCGACAATTTCTTTACTTCGTACAATCTTGCAAAGTATTTGTTATCAAAAAACTTAACATTAATTGGTACGATCCGTAAAAATAAGCAAAATTGCCATCTTAATAATAACATTTATTGCCTCAAAAACAAATATTTACTTAAATATATACATTCATAATAAATATAGACATCAAGACAAACGGAACAATTTATTATTATTATAGATATCGCTTATTGCGATATCCAAGAGATCCAACTGGTAACAGTGTAAATGTAATTTTAAATAAATCTGCTAATTAATCTGAGCGAATCAGCATATTTGAATTATGTAACGCATCGACAGTCAGTTACTACAAGAAAGGAAATAGACAAAAAAGAGTGCAGCAAAAGATAGATGAAAGGCAGACTAGAGAAGAAAACAAACACGTATAGATCAAGAAGAAGATAGTTGAAGAGATAGCAGATGGTGCCTCGAGGCATTCTTAAAATTTATTAAACTAGCTGCATTGCGAACAACGCCAACGGCAGGCAAATAGTTCTACAACGCAATCGACTGCACTGTAAAAGATCTGTGGTAGATTTCAGTACTATGGACTGGAAACATGAGTGTAGAGTCCGATATTGATCGAGTGTGATGCTAAAAAGTGAAAGGTATCACACAAATAAGCAGAAGTGCGGGTATAGACAATTTTGTACAACATAGTAAGCATACGAAATGATCTACGACTCTGGAAAGTCATCATCATCTGCAGGTTGTTACGATGTGGAGTAATGTGCCGAAACTTTCCTAAATCAAAAATGTACTATATACAATTGTTCTGAAGTCTTTCCAATTTACCCCGAAGGGCTGCGGACAGATCGGGATACGCAGCATGGGCATAATCAATGTGTGGGAAAATGGGAGAGTAACAAAGATTACGACGTACAACAGGAGGAAGGTAGCAGCGAAGTTTACGGAACAACGGTGTCGCCAAGCCTCAGTTGAAGGGTACTTAATGAATTAAATTGTGCCAGAAAGGGGCAAGTGCCAAATGCAATGGCTTGCGATTTACCTGGATTCAGGTTAAGTCCATGACGTCTAGACCAGTCAAGTACACTAGAGAGATCGTTGTTAGATGCAACAAAGCATCTGGGAGGTTGTTAATAGTTGACGAAATATAAAGTTGAAGGTCATCTGCATACAAATGATAGTTACACGAGATACCATCACTAATACTATTTATGAAAATTGAGAAGAGCCCAGTACACTGCCCTGGGGAACTCCACCTTTGATATCAACAGGAGAAGAAAGTACAGATTCCACGCGGACACGTAAAGACCGATAGGAAAGGTAGGACTGGAACCAAGATACACAAGAAAAGATAAAACCAATAACAGAAAGCCTAGTTAACAGGAGGGCATGGTCCACAGAATCAAAGGCCTTACTAAAATCAAGTAACACTAGCAAGATAACACAACGCCTGTCACAAGCAGATCTAATATCATCGGTGATTTTAATCAGTGCTGTAAAAGTACCATGCCCTGCACGAAAACCAGACTGGAACTTGTTAATCAGATTAAACTCCTCAAAATATTTCTGAATCTGTAAATAAGATAAACGTTCAATAACTTTTGACAACGTAGATAGAATAGAAATGGGTCGAAAGTCACCAACATGGAACGGAGATGTAATTGTTGGGATAGGAATAACATGGGCGATTCGCCAGATTGACGGAAATATAGACTGTTCGAAAGAACAGTTAAAAATGTGTTAGGGGAGTAATAACTATATCCAGAATGAGTAAGAGGAATCTGAGTCCAATACCATCTGCTCCGACACTAGTGGACTTGGAGTAAGTTAAAGCATCCCGGACCTCGGCATCTGTAACCAAGCTAAATGAAAAGAAAAGCACGTTGGTAGATGCAAGAATTTCATTAATAGTATTCTGCCTAGTTATGTTACCAACCACCACAGGAGGATCCGCAAAATACTCCGCAAGAGCAGCAGCATCAAGAGTGGGTTGATCTATGGGAGACTCTATAACACCAAGTGCTTGCATTGTTTTCCAAAATGTCTTATGAGTGGCTCCAGACTACCTCTGACAGTAGTGCAATCTTTTTAGCGTTTTTGCATCGATGATTACAACGGTTGCGCAACACACGATAATGTTCCTGATTGGCAGCAGAAGGGCTACGTTTGAACAATAATGTGTCTAACTCTCCGCCGCCTCTCCGGAGCATGCTTGTCATAGAGGTCGAGAACCTTGAAATTAAAGTACTCCACCTTAGCATCTATGTCAGGCAATGGGTAAAGTGGCTGCTAAACAATTTCGCTCACATCAGACATCACACATAGCCTGCAATCTATACTGTGAAGATCACGGTGGATCACAAAGCGCCGGGAATTGTCGTTTTCCACACAGTTTGGCCAAAAAAAGAAACCTCAAGTAATTCTGGACTACAATAAAACAAAGGGTGGCGTGGACAACATGGACGAAATGACGCGATCATACACCGTGAAAAGGATGACGAGAAGATTATGATAGACATCAGCGCCATGAACGCATACATACTATGGAGGCTCTCGAAACCTAATTCAGCTTTTGATTTGAAAAAGAGAAGAAACATTCTAATTGAGTTAGGAAAGGAGCTAGCAGAATACAAGGATCACGAAACACCAGAAGCAGAAAAAGAAGCTGAAGCATCTACTAGTTCTGAGATTCCAAGAAAGAGGAAGAGATGTGATTTGCATGTTGCAAAACCAATATATGCGGTGCACACTCTGTAGTTATATGTAAGAAA